TGGGTGTTGTATGTAAGCAATTACCGTGGGAATCTATCCCCAAAAGCAAGAGCACACTTTACACACTGTATGTTAGCCAATGTGACAATAAATTATATTAAAAAAGTAAAAATTAAAAAAAGTAAATAAAAACATTAGACTTTAAGATTACAAAATATCTTTAAAAGCTGGCTTGATTCAAGTAAATAGTTCTTTCAACAGCCTTGCAAATGTAATGAGTTAAGTTTGATTAACCAATTTTTGCCTTCCTAGATTTCATTTTTAAAGGGAAAACTATTCTTTCAGCCCATGACCCACTGTGCAGAGGCCCCAGGATGTCAATGAGATGCTCATCACAGCAACCTTGCACACTGGGACAGCTGGCTGGTGGCTTCGAGGTGGGGGGGGGGGGGGTGTCTGAATCTCTGGAGTCTGATCCTATCTCAGCTGGATCATCTGTTTGTTTAAGTAATGGTTAATAGGAGTTATTGGCAATTCCAAACAGTGTTTCTAGACGCCCAAAGTGATAAATCAAGAATATGAACTTGTTTTTATAGTTGCTTATAAAATACCTTCATGGTGTCTAAGAAGTCTAATTAAGTCTTTAAAAAGCTACAACATGCTCCCATGGTGCTCACTGCTCAGGGCCTAATTGGCCACACTGATCAAGATTAAGTGGTGTGTTACATCCTTTTTGGAAAGTAAAAACATTAAAAAATCAGGAAATCCCAAACTGCTAATTACAACTGCCTTGAGTTTTAACAGAGATGCTCTGTCGAAATTTAAGAGGATGCTCCTGGTTTCAGGGGGTTTTTGTTTCTTTACAGTTTTACCAAAATTGTTATTCTTATGGTATTAACCAGACAATCCTGCACTTTATTTTGTGGATAATTTCAATAAAGATAATATGCCACAGAAACTTATTAATAGAGAAAATGAAAACAGTGGCTAAAAAGTTATTTATTAATTAAAAATTATTTAAAGGAAAAAGTATACTCTCAAAATGAATTGGAAGGTTACTACCTTGGAGAGTCAAGTTGACTGCATATCCATACACTTAAAAATGTGTGGATTCTCCAAAGCCTTCCTTGGAGAAGACTTGACGGCATTCAGTTTGCTTATCATAGATCCGTTCCATACCTCGTTCCGTGGAATTTACAACTATTTCACCTACAGCCTTGTTCATTTCCAGAGACCCTGATGTTTGCTTCATTGTCAGACTTCAGAGAAGCTCATTGTTCCTCATGTGTGAAGCATGTGTGGATGACAGCATATGAGTGGACCTCAGGGCCACCCCTACCTTCTTGTGATGCAGACCCATGGGGGCCACCATTCCAACAGTGCCTATGAGGTGATTTTGAGGACAGGACTACGTTTGTACTTCTCCTTTTTTATCATCAGCTCAAAAATCTTTATACTTCTATTTTGATCAGAAACAGGTTCACAAATAATATTAGACATTTGTTGAAGAGTAGTTAATTCGTCATCTCAGAATACCCATCCCAATCTAAAATTACTAAAGAAAGCTCCAGGAATGTGTTGTTGTCTCTAGAGTGATATAAAGCTAGTGCTCTCAAAACAGAATGTTAGAGCTTATGGAGAGGTTTAGCCTTGGGATGGTCACATATCCTTACACATAAGAAAGAGAACTCAAGGGGAAAATGAGCAACTTTAGAAGGCATATGGCTGAAGAATTCAATTTTTAATTCCAGTGTAGATAAGGAGAGTTACCTATGCTTAAAAAATTTGTATAATCTAGATGTATCTCCTATGTATCTAGCGGCTTTCTCTCTTTTGGTCTCTCTCATGGAAGGGAAGCAAAACCTTCACAGGGTATTTTTGTCAGTTGATGTTAGATGTAGTTGAGATGTGCATCATTTCTTCCCAGCCAGTACCCTCTTTGTATTTTTTTATTTTTATTTTTTATTTTTGAGAGAGCTCATGAGTGGGGGAGGGACAAAGATGGGGGGGGGGAAACAGAAGATCCAAAGTGGGCTCTGCATTGACAGCAGTGAGTCCAATGTGGGGCTTGAACTGACGAATCGTGAGATCGTGGCCTGAGCCGAAGTCAGACACCCAACCGACTAAGCCACCTAGATGCCCCAGTGCCCTCTTAGAGTGCCCGATGCACCCGTGTGATGCCGAATAAGACACTCAAGGCACCGTGTGAGCCTATCTAGTCTCTATCTGGCCACAGATAATTAGACCAGGTGTAAACAGCTGACCTATGCCGAGCCAGTATGATTTTCTCAATATTGAGTCACAAAGTAAGTTAATTAAAAGAAGCTGTGCTGGAGAGTCACGCACAGATGGAAGTTGCTCTGTCCAAGTTCACATAAATGAGGAAGAGGAGAAGGCAAGCCTCAGGGAGACAGCAAGAGATATATATGGATAAGAATGGAAAAGATAACATCCCCCCAAGAGAAGGAAGTGAAAGTGAGACTGTGGGGGAGGAAAGAACGTGGTAGTCCCGCCGCCAAACCCAGCATCACTTCTTACCTTGAGCTCTTCTAAATCCTTAGAATAAATTCCTTGTTATTTACACTGGTTTTAGAGGGGTTCTGTTTCTCTACTAACTTACTCTTGCAAGTTATGTACTTATAAGTTATGCAGTACTTAATTATTCTTGTAAGATTGTACTTTATTTTGTGCACACATAATTCCAGAAGTCCAGCACCCTTGAAATGTGTATTTTTAATATTTGACTAAAATATTCAGTTCTGGCCTAACAGCCATGCAATTTTGAGCAAGTTCCAGTTGCCCAAATTGCATGATTAAGTGTTTCAAATTTTGAAGATTTAAAATAAACATCCTGTCAAAATATTCATCATAATGACACAATAGAAAATATGCTAGTGCACCGTGGTTAAGAAGTGAAAAATAAAGTTCCACATTCTCCATGAATCATCGGAATGAAGATCACACAGAATCTATCTCCAAGTTTATTTCCAGAAAATCAGCTGCTGCAAGAAGATTATCAGCAGCTTTAGTAAATCTTACAACATTTATACATTCAAGAGAATATATGTAGCTTGTGGGTAAACTATGAAGCACCATCTACAAATGGACACCTGTGAACTTTCCACTTTACTAAAAACTAGAACCTTACCATTCTGATTAAAGTCAGTATTTCCAGGGGCGCCTGGGTGGCGCAGTCGGTTAAGCGTCCGACTTCAGCCAGGTCACGTTCTCGCGGTCCGTGAGTTCGAGCCCCGCGTCAGGCTCTGGGCTGATGGCTCGGAGCCTGGAGCCTGTTTCCGATTCTGTGTCTCCCTCTCTCTCTGCCCCTCCCCCGTTCATGCTCTGTCTCTCTCTGTCCCAAAAATAAATAAACGTTGAAAAAAAAAATTTAAAGTCAGTATTTCCAGGGCACCTGGGTGGCTCAGTGGGTTAAGCGTCTGACTCTTGATTTCAGCTCAGGTCATAATCTCACAGTTCAGGAGTTCGAGCACCTGCAAACGTCAAGAGTCCCAAGGGTGAGAAATCTGGCATTAACGTTTGTGTATTTACGCTTGATCTGACATCCCTGCCACTTTCCTCCAAATCAACAACTATCCTGAAGTTATTAGTATTTACCACTGCCTTGTCCTTAAATATTTCATCATACGTATACGTATCCTTAATAGCATTATAAAAAATGTGTTTATCACCAGCTGTGAGACACATTATTAATGAGCCTCAAGTGTGTATCAAAAGGAAATGCATTAGTTATCAATAATTATAGATTTCTGGAAAGGTTTTCAGATGCATCCTGAAAGCAAATTTTGCAGCAGAAATTTGTCTTATTGATCAAGCACTTCTTCTGAATATATTAATTTGTGTGAGCAATGAAAAGGTCAGAGCTAGCCCATTTTGGGGGACTTTAATAAAACCAGCACAGGTAACTCAGCAACATTTTGAAATCCATTCGGCTTAAAGGCTAAAGGGAACACCACAGGGCAAAAATCAGCTGTCATGACATCTCTGCTTTCAAATCATTCAGTGAGTGATATTCAGAAAAATTTTAAGATAACCAGTTGTAGGAAAAGTGAGTCTTCAATGCATGTTTCAGGCTTAGTTTTAACATCTCTATTCAAATATTGTCAAAACCACATTGTGGAATTTTTCATAGGTTGCCTTTGATGCTTTGCTTTTGAGGCCACAGGTCTGGAGCTCACAGGGGAGTTTCTACATGTTGTGTCTTCCCTCCTTATATTCTTCATACAGTTAGACTATTCTGTTTCTAAGGAATTCAGTTCTAAGGAATTACCTTACAGTCCAACAGGCAAGCTATTTATAGGAATGGTTGACTTAAGGAATCATTAGGCTTAAAATGAAAAAAAAAATGCTTAAAAATAAAGCTTGCTTAAATTATAGTTTCTCAATTATGCATTAAAAAATAGAAAAATTCCACACTGAAAACAGAAAAGCAAAGGCATGATCTACAATAGTCATCAGTTATCCTAAACCATGATAAGGTCTAGAGGCTGATGTCCAGAGCAAATGCTTAAGGCTTCCTCTCTCTTGCCCCTCCATGCTGAGGTCACATGACTATTTACACAGACACCAACATGGAGATCGGGGAATGAGGGCCACTACTGAGGCTTCTGTTTCGGTACCAGTGTTCACTGGAAGGAGGAGGCCTGTCAGAGTCCGGTGCTGTTGTGATGCCAGGAAGGATGGGAACCTGGGAGCTTTGGAGAAGGTTTGCTTCATCTGGGCAAAGCCCAAATCATTCTGTTTACCTTACCTTACTGTTTCTGTAGTGACAGAAGACTCCAGAGCCCAATCTGTTAGGCTTCTGGGTACCAGCCTGCTTATGTGGAACATAAGCACTTCATCTAACACAAATTGATAGTTTAAAGGAGACATCTCAAGAAGAAAAAGCATATGGCTACCACTGAGGGCAATCAAATGGAAGAAACAGGAATTCTTAAGGACATTTGAGAAGATATTTCAAAAGAATAATCTAAGAACAAAAAAAATGTTCTTCAAAAGATCCAAAATACGAATTTCATGAAGGCAATGTAATATAGGATTGGCAAAGCTGGAAACTGAAATAGTGATCTAGAAGTTCAAATGCAGTAATTGACAACACAGAATGAATCTAAAGAAATTGAAATGATCATTGAAAAGTTGATGCATGAAGGATATATCGTGGGAACTGATATCTCAAAATCTCAAAGGGAGAAAAAGGGATGTCTCTGAAAGTAGGAAAAAAAAGCATGATAAATGTGAGCAAAAAAAGTATGAAGTTAGAGGATTTACTTAAGATATTCAAAATCCAATTATGAGAGTTCCAGAGAGAACCAAAATCAGACAGGAAGAAATTACAAAATAGATTATGAAGCAAAATTTCTTATTGTATTTTATTTATTTTTAAAGGGCATACATTTCTAAATGATGAAAGTCTATCAGTCTCTGGGAAAACCATAAAAAAGTCTCAAACACACATCAAAATTTTTCAGAACATTAAATAAGATCCTAAAAGCTTTCAGAGAAAGCGAATTTATAGAAATGATAACATACAAAGATTAGTAAATATGATTTATACCAGATATTTTAACAGTAACAATGAAGGCTAGGAAATAGTTTGAAGGGAGATAAATTTGTATACCTAACAAAGACTGGAGAATGGCCTCCACCATCATGAGGCAAAAAAAAAAAAAAAAAAAAAAAGGAAAGGAAATGTAGAAGACGAAGGAGGGATCCACAAAGGGTATCTCCAAGAAATAGTAAATAAAATGGACAGAGTCCTGATGTGTCAGACTGTGGTAAGGTGATATGTTAAAGCATTTTAAGATGATTTAATATGAGGTACACAGAACCATGAACTAAAATGAAAAAAAAATGGCTGCACAAGAGGAAATGTGATCACTGTATACAGCTCAGTTGTTAATAATATTTCAGTATAAACAGTAAATATTGATTTAACAGCACCAACAGCCATGATGACAAAAGATGACAGACTTCTACTGGGAGGCTCAGGAGACAGGAAGCACCTGCTTGTGCTGGGGATGGGCCGGCAGAGAGGGGAAGGAGTGACAGGAGACAGGTAATGTATTCCATATTCCACAACAGTAATTAAACAGGTCATATTTGAAACAAAACATCAAGAAATAGAAATATGAATAGGTTACATAAAAAAAAAGTAATACTAGACGATACAGTAAGTATCGTAGTAAAGTAGTAAAGATAGCTTCTGGGAAGAAAGAATTGGAAGTAGGTTGACATAGCTCAGGGTGAGGCTTTCTTTATTACATGCATTGTTGTTGTTTTTCATTTTATATTTCCCTGCATTACTTTGATCAATAATAAATTAAAAGGATATGTAGATGAGGAAAAAAGTACATCAATATAATATGAAATATTTGCCGAATGCCAAACTAGTTTTATTTTACTGGTGAAATTATAAAGCTATTTCCATTATAATTAGAAACAGACAGTAATCATTCACTATTATGTAATCGATTCAAAAAAATACATTAAAAATGAAAAAAAAAACCTGTAATAAAACAGAAGAGATAAAATTCTTTTTGCTGATGGTTTGAATGTTATGTCTGAGAAACCCAACAGAGTATAGCAAAAACCTTTTTGAATTAAAAAAATGATGAGGTTTCTTGATAAAAGATAAATAAAAATAAGTAACTTTTCCTGCAATATCAATAATCAGTTAGAAACTGGAATTTTAAAAATCCATTTACATTATCAAAAGGTATAAATACAATAAAAATTATAAAATCTTACTGAAGAATTTCAGTATTTGTATTCTCTGTATTTACAAATACAGAGAAACAGAAAGTATTCCAAGGAGTGTGTGTGTGTGTGTGTGTGTGTGTGTGTGTGTGCACATGTGTGTATGTGTGTGAGAGAGAATATATGGAAGACTTTTCACTCTATTGTTTTTTTTTTTTTTCCAACGTTTATTTATTTTTGGGACAGAGAGAGACAGAGCATGAACGGGGGAGGGGCAGAGAGAGAGGGAGACACAGAATCGGAAGCAGGCTCCAGGCTCCGAGCCATCAGCCCAGAGCCTGACGCGGGGCTCGAACTCACGGACGAGAGATCGTGACCTGAGCTGAAGTCGGACGCTCAACCGACTGAGCCACCCAGGCGCCCCTCACTCTATTGTTAAAGAGACTGATTTCTGGAGTGAAAACTGGGACATTATTAATTTTATGTTTATACTTCTCTGATTTTCTGATTTTTAAAAAGTGAACATGTTATTTTTGTACTCAAAAATATAAAAATACCTTTCTAAATTACCAGAACAATGATAAGTAGCATTCTCTCTATAGCCCCACATGAATACCATCAATGTTTTATATATGTTTTTACTACAATGTTCTCCCTTTGGGGAAGTGCCCTGCCTCTTCCTGCCACTCCGCAGCCCAGACTCCATCCATCCCCATGAAGCCAGATTGAGATCTCTTTCTCTTCTAAAGCCTGCTAACATGAACATTCAAGTTAATATAAATATTTTCTTATTGTTGTCAGGTTATCATTATGTTTTGCCAAAGTACAAATTCTCCAGGAAATGATCAATTTTAAAAACATTATTTATGGGGCGCCTGGGTGGCGCAGTCGGTTAAGCGTCCGACTTCAGCCAGGTCATGATCTCGCGGTCCGTGAGTTCGAGCCCCGCGTCGGGCTCTGGGCTGATGGCTCAGAGCCTGGAGCCTGTTTCCGATTCTGTGTCTCCCTCTCTCTCTGCCCCTCGCCCGTTCATGCTCTGTCTCTCTCTGTCCCAAAAATAAATAAACGTTGAAAAAAAATTAAAAAAAAAAAAACAAAAAAACCCACATTATTTATAAATTGAAGGGATATCTAGATAGATAGATACAGATACAGATGCAGATACAGATATAAACATAGATAATTTGGGATGGTATGTATCTTGAGGGGAAAATATGAATCAAGAACATAAAATATATATCGCCATTATGTTTTCTTTCCATACTTGTATATATATAATTGAAAGGAAAAAGTCCTCAAGATCTTAATATTTTTTAAGGGCTCACTCAAGCTAGTTCAAGAAAAGATATGTCCTCAGCTCAGTCACTAAATGAAAAAAACAAATGGTAATAATAAGTCACATGATTAGCAACAATGCTTCCTTGTGTTTGTAGAGTACTTTACACATTAGCGCAAAGAATGATAGAGTTACAGAGAATTAGGTCACTCTCTAGCACAACATCATGAGGGTCATGACACAGGTAGAAGAGGCCAAAGAGACTGAGTCCCAGGAAAGTGAATGATTTGCCTGAGTGCGCTCAGCTGGGACACAAGCTCAGACTCAAGGTTTTTATTTCAAATTCAGGGCTCTCTCCCTGTCCTCCTGCTTAGAACAACACAACGGCCTGAATTATTCTGACACTGTAGAGGCATTACTCTTGCAAATGGCAATGCTTGACATGAGTCTATCAGAAAGAAGCCTGACTTCTAATGAGGTCCCTACTCAGGTTTCTTCCTAAAGAAAAACTAGAAGGGGAAAAGAAAATGAAAATGGAGAGTGGGAATTGCTTAATTTTATTTGTTTCATTCTAGAAAGTAGCACAGTGCTGGGCACGGTTTAGGGGTTCAATAAACATCGGAAAATGACTGAAGAAATAAATGAGTGAATGTGTTTGCAAGCACCTGTCACATTAAAGCCCCCTCCCCCAGTTACTGATGGAAGGGAATCCACTGGGATTTCCAGTGCAAATTCTGAGCAAACATTGTAGGGTAGTAAAGAACCTAGCAATATGAAAGAAATATGCTAGAAACACATTTTTGTAAGTAGGAGATACGGTTATAGGAAACTTAAAAATTTTTTTAACATTTATTTATTTTTGAGACAGAGAGAGAGCATGAATGGGGGAGGGTGAGAGAGAGGGAGACACAGAATCCAAAACAGGCTCCAGGCTCTGAGCTCTCAGCACAGAGCCCCACGTGGGGCTCAAACTCACGGACCGCGAGATCATGACCTGAGCTGAAGTCGGCCACTTAACTGACTGAGCCACCCAGGCGCCCCTTAAAAATTTTTTTTAATGTTTATTTTTTTTTGGGGGGGGGGAAACAGAGTGTGAGCGGGGGAGGGGCAGAGAGAGGGGGAGACACAGAATCCGAAGCAGGCTCCAGGCTCTGAGCTGTCAGCACTGAGCCCTATGTGGGGCTCGAACCCATGAACCATGAGATCATGATCTGAGCTGAAGTCACTTAACCTACTGAGCCACCCAGGTGCCCCATAGGAAACTTTTAGAGTTATATGGAACTCTGGTTCCATTCCAAGTCAAATTCAAAATGAAGGAAAACTGAGGCATTTATACACACTTACTAACATGACTTAAACCAAACTCCCCGCACTTCAGTTGTGTCTTCCTTAGAGAACCAATGGTTTCAACATTTATTTTTCCTCTTCTAGAGAAAAAAAATTACAATGCTGTCTTCCATTCTCCATCACACAGTAGTTTCTTTATATCTCAGATTATCACAGATGTTAGAAGGGGGAAAGAAGAGAAAGTTTTGTTTTTTTTTTTAAATCAAGTTCTTATTTAAATTCACTTAGATAACATACAGTGTAATATTCAGGAGTAGAATTTAGTGATTCATCACTTACAGAGAACACCCAGTGCTCATCATAACAAGTGCCCTCCTTAATACCCATCACCCATTTAATCCATTCCCTGCTGACTTCTCCTCCACGAATCTTAAATTTGTTCTCTAGATTTAAGAGTGTCTTACTGTTTTCCACATGCTCTTTATTTCCTTCCCCTGTGTTTATCTGTTTTGTTTCTTGAATTCCACACATAATTGCACACATAATTGCAATCATTTGGTATTTGTCTTTCTCTGGCAGATTTCACTTGGCGTAATATACTCTAGCTCCATCCCCATCATTGCAAATGGAAAGATTTTATTCTTTTTGATGGCTGAGTAATATTCCATTGTGTGTGTATGTATTTATGTGTATTATACACACACACATACTTATATACTTTTTTACTTCAAATTTATACACACACACACACACACACACACATCTTCTTTACCAATTCATCAGTCGATGGACACTTGTTTTTTTCTATAATCTGGCTATTGTTGATAATGCTGCTATAAACATCAGGGTACATGTGCCACTTTGCATCAGTATTTTTGTATCCTTTGGGTAAATACCTAGTAGTGCAATTGCTGGGTCATAGGGCAGTTCTATTTTTAACTTTTTGAGGAAATTCCATACTGTTTTCCAGAGCGGCTGCACCAGTTTGCATTCCCACCAGTAATGTAAGGGGTTCCCCTTTTTCCACATCCTCACTGAAATGTGTTGTTTCCTGTGATGTTAATGTTAGCAACTCTGCCAGGTGTGATGTGGTATCTCATCATGGTTTTTTATTTGTATTTCTTGGATTATGAGTGATGCTGAGCATCTTTCCACATGCCTATTAGCCATTTGGATGTCTTCTTTGGAAAAATGTCTATTCATTCATGTCTTCTGCCCATCTCTTAACTGCATTATTTGTTTTGGGGGTGTTGTTTGATAAGTTCTTGATAGATTTTGGATACTAACCCTTTATCAGATTAAGTCATTTGCAAATATCTTCTCTCATGCCATAGATTGCCTTTTAGTTTTGTTGATTGTTTCCTTCACTGTGCAGAAGTTATCTTGGTAAAATCTCAATGGTTCATTTTTGCTTTTATTTCCCTAGCCTTCAGAGATGTGTCTAGTAATAAGTGGCTAGAGCCAAGATCAAAGAGGTTGTTATCTATGTTCTTCTCTAAGGTTTTGATGGTTTCCTACCTCACATTTATGTCTTTCATCCATTTTGGATTTATTTTTGTACATAGTATACGGAAGTGGTCCGGTTTCATTCTTCTGCATGTTGCTGTCCGTTTTCCCAACACCATTTGTTGAAGAGACTGTCTTTTTTCCATTGGTTATTCTCTCCTGCTTTGTTGAAAATGAGTTGAACATATAGCTGGGTCTATTTCTGGGTTTTCCATGCTGTTCCACTGGTCTATGTGTCTGTTTTTGTGCCAGTACCATACTGTCTTGATGACTATCAGCTTTGTAATATG